ATAGGATATAGGAACATTTGGGCCTAATATAGAAACCTTTTTATATTAAACAACTCAAAAACTGCAATTCTACTCCATAGTATTATGTATAGACATGTACACCTATTGGGATCTTGAGAGGTGGCAGGGTGGAACCTCTTAGGGTGCCTATACACGTGCTCCAACACGTTCTAATTAGAACACTCTAGCATTGTTGCAGTGTCACGTGTATAAGTCCCCACAGGTTTAAAATGCCTGCCTGGGTGCTTTAACTAAAGTTTGTTGAATGAGCTTTAGATAAAGCATCCCACAACCATTTTTAATTGTGTAGGGGCTTAATACATGTGACGCTGCAGCGTTTTAATTAGAGTGGCTCTCTGAGAGCCGCTCTAATTAAAATGCTTGTGGATGCCTGCTCCAATGTGCTGTAATTACAGCACATCAGAGCAGACTCAGTTGAGTTTGCTGGAGTGTGCGTGCTCCAGCAGGCTTGGCATCTCATGTATTCAGTATCCCTATGCTTCAAAATGGTGGCAGGTGCTCATCAAATGCCATTTTGAAGCATGGGTTGCTGAATAGGCCCCAGCTTTAATTTGTGCTGGGGGAAGGACCCGAAGATGATGGACATGTGGAAACCTTTATTCCAATGTAGACAGCTCTCTTCCCCCTTGGGCCCTTGGGCCACCATGTACTCGGCACCTCTGCATGAGACACTGTGGGTGCTTTTAATTGGAGTGGCTTCTGAGAGCCACTCTAATTAAAGCACCCTCGCCCCCCCCTTCCCCCCCAGAGCAGGTGCAAAGATGCCCTTAGAGACTTAACTTATTCAGAGGCAGATGCTTTCATAGGTGAATGCCTACTTCATCAGATGATGCAAATGAATTTAGAGACATGGGGTACTAAATAGAAAGGAATAAAGTAATTTAAATACAAAGTATGGGTGGGGGAGTACTGCTGAGAGGGGCAAAGGTATGCTGAAGGGATCAAAAGGGATAAACAAAACCGTTAACCCATTGAGGGATATAAGGGTTATATTATAAAAGCTACTACAGGCAATTGGATAAGGATCCAAAGACCCTGAGATCATGCTTAACACAATCTAGTCTGTAGATATGTTCATGTTCCACAATCTTGTGTTTGAGTTGGCTTTTAAAATGTTACTGTTTTAAGAACAGCTATTCTGAGGTCAGCAATGGAATATCCAGGGAGGTTAAAGTGTTTTGCAACAAGCTTTTGTGTTTGTCTGGCATTGATGTCAGATTGGGATCCATTCACTTTTTTATGTAGACAGCAATGTAGACAGCAGCAGGACCCTTTTAGGAGGTGATGGCATATACAACATTTGTAGAGGAGCAGGTGAATGAACCCCAGATATTACAATCAGTGTTGTTTAGTCAAGTGCGTTTGTTGATGAGGGGGTACAGCAGGCATCTGACTGTAGCAAGGCCTAGTTGTTCAGTGAAGATAGAAGTTAGACACTTTGTTGCTAGATAAAGGTTGCTTGAGATTGGCCTGTCTTCAAGTTGGGACAGGCTTGATCCCAAGGTTTGAGATTAGTCATTCTTTCCCAAGAGGGGTTGGAGGTATCCCAGATGTTCAAAATGTTGATGTATCAAAGATGTTCAAGCTGCAGGGCTGTAGATGACAACAAGAGAGATTTTGTTGTCCTTGTCACAGGGGAATGAGCACTTATCTCGTCTTTGCACAGGGGCTGGGACAAGTGAGTGCTTACTTTTCCCACCTCACACAGGCCAGGTTGGGGGAGGAGAAGAAGGAGCAAGGGTTTACCTCCTTGCATAGGGATTGGACAGGGACAAGCAAGTACTTACCTCCTTACACCCTGCAACAGCCTTAAAAGGATCTTATGGTATCTCAGGGTACTGTGGCATCTCAGATGAGAATCACTGTTTTAGATTATGCTAGTATGGGTGTTTCAGAGATGCCGATGAGTTTGCTGCCTGATTGATCTTTATGGTTTGAGTTTCTGATAAATATTAAGGGTGCACATAGCCTTGAATAATCACTGCATTATAATATAAATCTAAATAATGAATGTAAATGATACCTTTGCTCTTTCTAGGCTGTTTAATCTTCTGGCTCCACAATGAGGAGTTAGTTTGTTTTTGATGGAAGTGATACCAAAGTGATGTCTCCAATTTTGGTAGACCCTGAGTGATATTTCTGGAAACGGATTTTCTGATTTTATGCTGGAGTTTTCTAAATTTATTGGAAAGGAACAGAAAGCTGGGGTATAACAATCAAACTTTAGTTAAAGGAAAAAAAAAGAGAGAGCCTCAACCCTTTCCACCATCTTTTTTTTATTGTTGGTATTACTCGTAATATTTCTGTTCCTTGAGGGTTAGCTTTTTGACTAGATAGCTAAGCGAGGAGCAGGGCTACTGGAATTAGATTGGAAGAACATATTTGCCCTGGGGTACCCTTGATAGTGCTCCTTGTTCATGACTCATTTGCTGTCAAAATTGGCACACCCTCCAGTAGCTCATATTCTTAGCATTTGCTTTAGAAAAGGAGGCAAATTACCTTCTTGGTCACAAACACTTGCAAAAGGTGAAGGTTTAAAAAACTATGTAGTTGTGATAGGGTAAATGTGAAATGCCGCTTTTGTCCCAAAGGGTTCAAGAACCTAGACTTCATGAATCAAGGATATAGGTTGTAGCCGTGTCGGTTTAAAGGCAAAAACAAATAAAGAACTGTTTTGGCAACTGTCTAGTTGGTCTAATAAAAGATATTGCCTCTACCACAAGCAGTTTCCTCTAAAGTGCGTGTGCGCGCAGCTACGCACAACTAAAAGTCTGGCCGCGCACCAACTTTTCAAGGCCACACACCGGGAGAGGAGCTGAAGGTAAGCTCCGAGGCGAGGCGGGGGCCTGGCATGGGCTCCGCCGGCTCCGGGAAACTACTCCTCTCCCCAGCATTGCCTTGGCGAGCGAGGAGGCATGTGGCGTCAGGGTTGGGGAGTGGAGCACTTCCCTGGAGCTGGCGGAGCCTCATTCAGGGCAAGCAGCGGCTCCTCCCCAAGGTGAGGCAAGGCAGGGATGGAGGCTGGCGCAGGCTCCGCTGGCTCTGAGGAACTGCTCCGCGGGCTCTGCTGGCTCTGTCAAAGTGCTCCACTCCCCGGCTCTCACACCACGTGCCTCCTCGCTCTCTGAGGCAATGCAGGTGAGCGGAGCAGTTCCCCGGAGCAGGCGGTATCTGCCCCAGCCCCCAGCCCCCAGCCCCCACTGCCTGCCCCAGGTGAGGAGTGAGGATCTTACCTTTAGTAAGTGTCCCATGCTGCACCGAAAGGGGGAGGCGGGACCGAAGCAGCGCGCTCATGGACTGAAGCGGCATGCTTATGGACTGCCACTCCTTAGAGGGAACATTAACCACAAGAGTTCTGGCTGCTTAGGCTTCATGAACAAATCTGATGAAGTAAAGGCTGATGCCACTTATGCCAGGGCTGAGTCTACCCTAAGTATGCCTTTCTGAAGTTGACCATAGAAGCTGGGAGCTCAGATCCCTGCTAAATTATAGAACTATAACAGGACACTTAGTTTTTAAGTTGTACTTGAACTTAGTTGGGAATAGGCTAGAATCAGCTCCATAGTCTAATTCAATTACAGAATGCGCAGTTTGAAACCCAGTTAGACTTAGGAGACCAGCCTGGTGCTAGCAGGATCTTGATCTGGCTGAGGTCCAAGGAATTGCAAATTGGCTTGCTATGGTCTGCATTGCTTTCCCTTGTTATACCTCTCCTCCCTTCCCAAAGCAGGTGCATGGCATTTTAAGAACTCGAGCATTCCTTTTAGTAGAGCTGAAGATGCAGCTCTTACAAACTGTCCGGAGAGAAAACAGCGCAGAATGTGGAGTGAATGGTTTAGCTTCTTGCCCAGCTCTACCAACCCATGCCTAGACACCCAGTGGTTAAAGCAGATTGAATCCAAGGAGGTGGGGAAGCTTCTCATGGGAGTAGCAGAGGGGGGGAGTGCTAGAGGAGTTGCTTTTCACCTTGGAGGACAGCATTGGCAACACATAGGAGATGCATGCAGGTGCATGTGCACCCCCTGTGCTTGGTGATGCACCCCCTGTGAAAAGGCACTACCGACACTGCTGCGGGTGCCTGTGGGCTGTTGCTGCTCACCAGCCCCCACGCCCCTTGCCACCAACACTGCTGATGGTGTCTGTGGGCAGTCCATCATCGCCACTGGCTGCTGACAATGATGTCGGTGGTGTCTATGGGTGGTTGCCAATGCCCCCCTGCTGACAGTGCTGTGGCCACCTGCAGGAGCTCCCCGCTTGCCGCCGCCACGCTCCCGCCAAAAGTGCTGCTGCTGGCTGTGGGAGCTTGCCGTGCCCCCTCCCTGGCCTCTGGGGACATGCAGCGTTCATGCAGGACATCTGAGAGCTGTCCCCTCAGATCTTTAGCAGGCAAGAGAGAGCATTCAATCCCCTCCGCTGCCTTTTACTTCAGCAGAGGCTAAGCAGTGCCTTTGTGGAAGGGGGTTAGGTTGCAACCTTGGAGAAGCTGTGAGCCAACTACCCTGCTACAGAAGGGCGCCATGCCCAGCCAGGCCCACTGCATTGAAGCAGTGACACCAAGGCTCTATCCCGTCCCTGGTCCCAGGGTCTGACCAGGCGGGGCTGGAGCCAAGCTGCAGGCCTTGTTTACACCCCCCCC